GTTTGGGGCGGGACAGGAAGCGACGCTTTAACTGGGTCGCAAGTTCATCAGTGGTAATTATTATTAATCAGGAAATCTCGGCCCGGCCGCGAAATTCCCGCAGATTTGCATGATTACGCCGAAGAGCGCGTTGAATAATTGGCGTCGCCTGGGATTGCCGGCGGGGACGTGGTGTTTTCAGCGGCCGGTTAATTTGTTGTTATATTATTTGACGGAGTTGAGTTGAGTTGAGTTGGGTTTATCGTGGTCGTCGTCGCCCGAAACTTGGAGGAAAATGAAACGTCCACTACTACTTTCGACCGACCTTTGCTATTTTCGACGTCGGATTCCTTTGATAAATGATGATAAAGCCGTGTCAATGCCGCGCTTCTCTGATTCATTCCAGCGATTTTTCAATTTTTTTTAACCCTTTGCACTCGTATTTTTATTTGACAAGGTTACTAATCCAATTATTTTCCATATTCTTGTTAAGTTAAGTTGCTTTAGTAGAAAAAATTTGAAAAATATACACAAATTTTATCTCAATCTCTAGATCAATATATAAAAATTTATATAATATTTGTATGTATATTTCGATTTTTCAAAATTCTTAAAAAATAGATAAAACTAAATTCTAAATTGAAAGGAACAAAACACAATTTTGTATTGCAATAGGGATAAAATACATGAAAAAACAACTGAAAGACCAAAAAAATAAATGATACAAGTAACATTGAAAAAATTACATTTTATAGTCCTATAGTTTGCCAGAACAAAGAGAAAATATCTTTTATTATCGTTTATATATTTATTTTATTTTATATATATATACACATTTAAGCAAAAACATTGTAACAATAATCCATAGAACGTAATATTAATGTAAATATATGTATAATAACACGAGTGCAAGGGTTAAATTAATCCCTCCGTTTTCCCCTTTTATTGGAAAATTGTCTATACCGTCTTTCTATCATCTGTTTAATTTCTCTTTTTCAATCAAAAGTTATCGAAAGCATCGACATCGAACCACCGATCGTTCCAATTGCACACCATATAAACGAATTATTCGAGAATAAATTATCGTCGTTGCACGCGTTCATCAAAACACGCAGATCGGCCGCCTCCTGTTCCGCTAACTAATCGGGCCTTGATCGTTTATTACGCAGCATCTACGTTTTGCTTCGAGAACGTCGAAGCGTGCCGCGATCCGGGCCGTCAAGATCGCCACTTTGCTTTGGGGAAATACTGATCTATCGTGAAAACGAAATTACAACACGCTTCGACATCTATTAAATTCTTCCTTCTAATAATCGTTTAAAAATGATTTAAACTCTTTTCAAGGCAAACTTATGCTTTTTAATTATTTACGGATTTTTCTATTTTTATTTGGCGTGAATCATCGCGAAGCAAATCACGAAACAAAGCACTTTCGTTCATTCTTCGATCTCGAAAGTTAAACCTTAAATCGCCAACCAACGATTGTTTAATTTACCACGGAACAAATTACGATTTACACGAGCTATTTTCAAATCACGCGTCTAAATTCGACGATCACGGAGTCTCGATATTCTGCCTCGAAGATGAGATTCTTTCTCCGGCGAGAAACTTTTCTTTTACGTGCAATTTGCTTCTCGATCGATCGAGGGAAAACGAGAAGTGAAACGGGTTTACCTTTCGCGCTGCTATCATATCATTTCGCCCTTCTCGAGCTTCGAAATCCTAATCGATCGATCGAGAGGAAAGGAATTGTGCTTCTTTCGATTATGAGGATGACCTCGATCGATTCATCCTATTGAAAAACGTAGAGAGTGTCTAGGTAAAAGTGAGCGAGAAACGGAAGAAATCACAAGTGGATTGTTTTGAGAAATTTATAGCGATAATATTTAAGAAAAAAAGATTTTTATATTTTTTTCGATTTCAATTATATCATATTTGAGATAATTTAAAAATAACACGTGAAATTATATAATTGTAGTTTCAATTTTTAGAAAAGTTTTTTACTCTTTTTATTTTTTACATTTTATATAATCAGACGCTCTGTACATTCGTGAAATATTTTTGGAGAGTCAATTTTAGAGGCCGGAACAAACATAAAAGTTACGCGAAAACATCGATTAATTATCGAGACAGCGAGAAGACAGAAATAGAGTAAGACCTCAAACCTGTAACTTAATAACTCTCAACATTTTGTCCATCGACTTTTCTTAGAAAAAAGATTTCCAAAAATTTGTATCGACAAATGTATCAATACCTCGAACAAAAAATCTCCACTTCACGTCACCTTAATCTTCGTCGCAACGAAATATTACGAAGAGGAAATTTCCCTTCTTATCCTGTATGCTTCCAACATTGAAAACTCGTCGAATCGATTAATTGGCTCGATGAGGCCACCATCTCGATGGAAGATCACGGAACAATTAAGAATCTTTCTAGAAAAAAGATTTCCAAAAGATTTGTATCAACAAAATGTATCAACACCTCGAACAAAAAATCTTCACTTCACATCACGTATTAATCTTCGTCGCAACGAAATATTACGAGAAATATTACGAAGAGGAAATTTCTCTTCTCGTGCTTTTAACATTGGAAACTCGTCGAGTCGATTTATTGGCTCGATGAGGCCACCATCTCGATGGAAGATCGCGGAACAACTAAGGATCGAGAAGCTTTGCCTCTTACGTAACACGATATACACACCATCAAACTTGGAAGCTTCGATCAATCGAGCACGCGACAGCGAGCGATCGGGGAAAACTCCGTCCAACTTAATAACACTGTTCTCCAAATCCTCCATCGATCTCTCGCGCGTTCAAGCTTTGTCATGACGTATAGCCGTGGAAATAGCTTCCCCGCCTCTACACATCTCGAGTTTACGAGCGAGTCTTCGATCGATCTTCGCAAGCTACGAGACTTTTGTTAAAAAAAAAAAAGTTAAAGGGCCCAGAAATTTTCTTTGCACTCTACATTTCTTCTTTCCCTTAACTTCAATCTCAATCCTCGTTCTTTCTACATTTCTAAATTCGAGCTTTCGAATTAACCAAGTCTGATTTCGAATAACTTTGTGATACAGGATAATTTTCCCCCTTTCCCCGATCCATCTGCTAGAGATTCATTTTTCTCGTATCATTTTTACGATTGCGAACAAGATTGATGAATTTTCTGTAAATCCTCCAATTGCAATTAATAATAAACGCGGAAACGACGATCACCGATGTATAATAAAATTCACTATATAAAAAAAAGAACCAATCACCGGATCTCCACACATCGAATCCTCGTTCAATAAGGATTGTTCCTTCCGTCGATCCATCTTCAATCGATTTTCACGTCTTCCCGAAAGATAAGGATCTCCACTTTCCACGGTAACCTCGTACTTTCTCCAAAGAGACGAGAGCGCGCGGAATTACGTAAAAAAGTAAAGCTGAATCTCTAACGCGATCCAAGTTTCTATCCTGGATAGAGGCTACGTCATCGTCGAATCCTCCATCCTCCGCCATCGTCCCCCGATACCAATTAACGCGATCAACGATCCATAAATTTTTACCGCATACCGTAAAGCACAACCAAACACTTGCGTAGCAACGAAAAAGAATCACGATAATAAATTGCGAATCTTCACACGGGATAATCTGGAATAATAATAACTTCGACGATCCTTCGCATTATCCACCACTGCTAATTGGCCGGTGACTCGCCGCGTCTGTCGAGACGGCCACCGCTCGCGCAACACTGTTTCAAACAAATTTAGATACACCCGCGATCTTCGAGATCGATAATTCTGGCAGCGCCGCTAATTACAACCTTCCACCGACACTGAGACGAAACTTCGATCATCTTCGAACGCCATTTGCGAAAAATGAACACGATCATAAATTTGTTTAGATAGAATCTTTGATAAGAATCATAATAAAATGTCTATATTCGTTGATCCGAAAATACATTTCTTTCTTGATTTGTTTAGATAGAATTCTTGATAGAATGAAACGTCTATATTCGTTGATCAGAAAACATATATATATATATATTTTTTTACAAACAAAAATTTACCTTCGTATAGTAAGAATCGTATAGTAAGAATTATAATAAAAATTTTTTTAACGAGATACAAATATTCCAAATATCGTAGCGATCGATTCTTTCACTCACTGAAACTTGTCACTTGTCACTTCCGAATCTATTCGAAACGTTCGCATTACGAGACGAAAACGGATTTCACGCACGGGAGCGTGAATCGCGGGTACACCTGGAAGATCTGGGCGGAAAATTTCGCCGTTTTCTCGCCGGCAATATTTTTTTTTTTTTTTT